ACAGAACTATAGATCACTTGGGCCAACAAGACCAATAATTCCAACTATAGGACAAGCCTGATTATAACAATTTATATTTTAATTTTGCAATTCAAAAAACATTTTCACATGTATAATCTATTTTTTCCCAAAACCAAATAGTATATTAAATTTTCTAATTTCTTTTTTTTTTTTTTTAAGATTTTATTTGACAGAGAGAGGGAACAAAAACAGGGGGAGTGGGAGAAGCAGGCTTCCCACTGAGCAGGGAGCCCGATGCAGGGGCTTGATCCCAGGACCCTGGGATCATGACCTGAGCCGAAGGCAGATGCTTAATGACTGAGCCACCCAGGTGCCCCTAAATTTTCTAATTTCTTTACATCTTTCCTAGTTTTTATCTTTTAATCTTTGTGATAGCAGTGAAACCAACCAATTTGGTTGTTTTCTTTCATAAAGAAAAATTTTAGAACCCAAATCTTGCTTTTTTTCCTTTGAGGGAGTTATTTTGTTTTTATTGCTAATGTTGAATAATGTCCCACCATCCCTCAGGACTTAGATTAACAAAAATTATCTCTCAGCAAGACCGGTATAGAAAAAGCCCCCTGGAAAGTTTAGTTTGGGGCCAGCTATTTCAGATTTAATTGAACATTTTTATCTTAATGGAAAATGAAAAAGGTAAATGTAGATCTTGCTTACAGTATGGTTAAGTCTACCTGCTTGGCAGGGACTTTAAATGCGTGAACTTTCAAGACAAGCAAATGCATATTTTCTAATGAAAGATTGCTCCTCAGTAGGCCAACCCCAAATCTTTAAACTGCTGTTAAATTTAAGGAGGTCCTCAATGGTAGGAAATATGAATTGGAAATATTTTTATCACTTACATTTAGCTGAGTATGTTGAGTGATTTTTACTCTAAAGAGCCATCCATCAGGGGTAGGCCTGCGTCAGTAAGTCGCCAGAATTTATGTTCTACAACAGTACACATTTTCTAGCTGTCAGGCTTACATGGACCTTTTGGAAGACCTTGGGGATATACAGCCTATCGTAATGCCATACAGTGAAAATGATCGCTCTTTTCAGAGAACACAGTGGTGTGTTGGACAAATGTTACAAGCATATTAAAAGTAGAAATGTCGGACTCCAGGGATTCCATTAAGTATCCTTATTTCTTTCATTATAGAATAAAAACGCACTTAAAAATATTTTTAATTAAGTATAAAATGGAAGTAACCCTGCTGATCTTTGATTCTATAAAATGTCAGTAATCTTCCTAAAATTATCATATAATGAAAAAATATCTTACATATTCTCAGATTAGCACAAGACATCCAGGTTTCCAGAGTTCTGAATAAAAGGATAATTTGGATTTTTGTAGACAATTAGATATTAATAATTCACTTAATATTTAGAGTACACCTCAGAGAGGTAACTCTAAAATAAATACATTATCTCAGATAAATCAAAGATCTGATTTCACTAGTTTAATATTTAGTTTCATATACATAAACTTAACTAGTTCTATATTTCAGTCTTGGAGGAAGCTTTCAATGAATGCTTTAACTACATACAGGACGACAGATGACTGAACACAGAATTAGCAAATGTAAACAAATTACCTATTTCAACTGAGTATGGGCGAACCTAGGCTGCTTAATTATCCAAGATCTCCAAGACCTAACTAAACTGTCATCCAGACGACTGCCATATTTCATTCCAAGAATTCCTGCTTGCAACCCAAATCCTGAACATTTCATCATTCTACTATTAAAATAACATTTACTGACACCTTCTCTAGTCAATACACTTCCACAAAGACCTAGAAGAGCTTTGCTTTATATCGGTTCCAGATCCATAAACCCTCCTCCTCTCCAGTTTAAGGCTCAAAGACCCTCCCACACATCCTCTTACCACACTTCTAAACCCAAGCTTCCTTCCACTTCCTACTAAGAATTTAAGTTTTCTCTTCATTGAAGCAATCCCCACCCCTGCAAAAAAAAAAAATCTCCACAAGGGTAAATTGGAAAAAAAATGTTTTCCTAAATTTTACTCCCAAAATAACAATCTTTTGAGTCTTCACTACTCAACATGTACCTCTCAGTATTTGCTTGATACTGTATTTTCATTTAATATATTTCTTCCCCAAACACCTAGTTTTTTCAACATGCTGCCCCCGTAACTACAGACTATCTAAGATTATTAGCTTCCAGAAGTCCGGCACCAAACACTAACTCATGTGGAATAACACATGAATGCCATGCTAGATTAAGCATAAATGTTTAATCAATGCTTTTGCTGCTGAGCTTCTGAATTCCAGATTCTATCTTTTAAAGGTCTGATCCTTTACACCTTGAGATCGCCTATAAAAGTCACTGTGAGGAAACAGTATAATGTAGTGGTTAGGAGTAGGCTCTGGAGTCAGAAAGCTTAGGATCAAATGCCAATTCCAATTCCTGTTAACTGGAACAAGTAACCTAAACCCTCTAAGCTTTTGGTTTTCTTGTGTGTAAAAAAAAAAAAAAAGTCAATCCAACAGTATCCACTCCAGAAGGTTATTAAGATTAAAATTTATAATATATGTATATACCTATGTGTGCATGTGGAACACAGCAGCACTTAATGTTACTGTTTTTAAAAAGACATTTCCTTTATAAAACTTAGCTACACAGCATACAATATTTATGTGAAAAAAAATCTTTATACTTCATCTAAGTGCAAAGGAAAAACAGGTAGAAATAATCTTTAAAATAACAATGGTAACACTATTCTCAGAGATCAGGTAACCATATCTCCTACTTTGCCTAGGACAGTTCTGAACACCTGTTGTTCCAACATTAATAATAGTCTCCTCCAACCCCCCCCTTAACTCTTCAATAACCTGTTCCAATGATATATGGCCAACTGTGCTGGTGATTAAGCTTTTTTCCCACAACTCTTAACCACTAGTATATACTCGACTGCGTAATATGGGGGTTAGAACTGTGTAAACTACATTTCTCCTTGTTAGCTGAATTTTTGTTAGGCTCCACTAATGGGAGGACTAGAAAAGTGAAACAGAAAGGCAGAAGAGGAATCTTGCTATTTCCTGTTTGCTTAATGTTCCAGTCAACTTCCCCAGGGCAAAAGTTCTTCATTCCACAGGCAGCACTTGGTTCCAGTCTCCAGCTTATCATTCTCCACCAGTACTAGCTAGCAGGACCCTCTCCTCAAATGTCCCCAAGTCCCTGCTCTAAAGGACCTTTCTTCAAAGCTTTTAATTTCTGGTAACCTCTATCTTCTGTTCCCTCAGCTCTAGGTGTGGTACTTGCTTCCTATAGTTAACTGTCTCAGTGTTCCCTTTCCGAATTTTTTGTTCTCCAGTATCAGATTAACCTATTAAAACATCTAGTTGTACTCCTCCTCCTGTCTGAAGTCTGACACTGATATTACTGAGAGAGGGGTGGCAAAAGGATAGGGGTTAAAAAAAATGTTTTGGCCTTTATTTTATATAAGTTCTTTATGTATTACTTATTCAATTTAAATTTATTTAAAATGATTTAAAAAATTATTTTGCCTTCTTCACAATGGTATTCAGAACACTATAAATAATCTTTGTCAAGAACACATCACTAGTAAATCCCCAAGAAAATTTACTTCCAGGGACTAGCATCAGAGAGATGGCTTATGAAGTTGAGGCCATTTGCCACTCAATTGGATAATCTATTTATGATGTTTGCTAATGTAAGGCCATTAACATGGGCACATCAACTAAATTTAAAAGTCTTCCATAATAGGCACATAGGTTCTTTAGAGAGTAGGCTTTGTTGACTTGTAACAAAGGAAAAGATCTTAGCTGACAAATCCCAAACTATCAAAACTTACCAGGACACCAGGACACCAGAACAGCAATAAACTAGGCAATTTTAGCAAAAAATATTTTTCTTATATCATGAAATGCCATTGCATGAAATGTGACTCTAATGATAAATAAGACTGATACCCACCTTGACTTCCTTCTGTTAAAGCACATTCGCTCTTTTCTTAATGCCACCTCTACTAGCTATTATATTGACTTTTCAACTCTACAGATACTGATTATTAACACTGAAAAAAATTATTCATACCCTTCTGCGGGCAAAGGCTTCCATAAATATGAAGAAATGAGTTGAGCACTCTTCCCTCAGCCCACAGTAGAAGAAACAAAATTGCTGGTATCCCAAAGAGTAAGTATTTATATTAAGAATAAAAAGAAGTTATCACTGTTAAGTGACAAAAGTAGCTTGGATTATTTATTCCAATAAAGTGGCAGAAGACGAGGAAGCCTAGATTTACTTTTATCTGTTTTATTCTTCACTTTATTCTTTAATTTCCTGGAAATCAACATATTTTGTGACCAAGACATAGAAGGCAATTCATCAGTAAGGGTGAAAAAAATTTTTTAATTTCAAAGAATATTTGTGGCCCTGGATATTACTACTACTGTGAGCACTGATTTCATATTCAAAATTAAATTTTAGATTAACGTAATAAAATTTAAAAAAATTAAATTTTAGTATGATGAGCAATTAACTTACTTTCTTACTTTCTACTTTCTTTCTACTTTCAAAAACATTTTTGAAATGTCACCACTGTTATATTATTCCCTACTGATTTGTTCATTATATTGCTAGTAACTATCTGTGATACTCTAGAAGCTCACAACACTTCAAGTGCCTCAAATTATTACTGTATTTTAAATTTAAAACAAGAAATCTAAAGAAAGATCACTGACATAGACAACTTTCTTCCAGAGAGCCCAAACCACCAGGAACCAGATAGCATAGGTACCAATTCTCTATAATCTATCTCACAAAACCACTTGTCTCACCACTAACATACATTGCTATAAGGCAGAAGAGCCCACCAAATACCTGGAAAGTCGGTCTCTATTTCCTAGCGAATCACAGAATGTTCCTTTATATAGGTAAAACAATCTTAAATGATTTCTGTGGCTTAGTTTTCTATTTTCATCATTGTGACGTTTAATTGAGTGGCAATTATCATAACAGATCAAAATTCCAAAATTTCAATCTTTAACTTTGTCAAGAAATCAGATGATTCAAACTGTACTCAATTAGTTTAAGAGGGAAATATCCAAATTTAACTGTCATAACTTACGTTAAGACACCAAAAACGCTATAGAACATAATACATGAGGATAAATGGGTCTATATGCACAACACTTTTTCCTTCCAAACTGAAAGACATGACTCCTAAAAAAGGAATTATGCCTGTATTGAGTCATCAACTTGTACTGAAACATAAAATGTCAAACTTGTAAGGGAAAAATGTGCTATTCTATTGCTATTTGTATTTCAATTTTTGTTTCTGAAACTAGTAGTATAAAAAGAAAAGATTTAAGAAAAATACCATTGAGTGTTTACAGATATTTGGAATTATAAAACAGAAAATTTACCATACTTTAAAATACTACTAAAATAAACATTTTATTAATGACATGTGCATATCTATAACATGTGCATCAAAACAAAAGTGACTACTGATGCCAAATAAAAAACTTTCAGAGAATGTGTACCACATGATTTAATTTTTTAAACTTTATATATATATATATAAAAGCTATATTATAAATACAAAGCTAAACTATTAGAGTGCTAACAATACTGTTTATACAAAGAAACTTGACAGTAGTAAAATATGAATACATAAGACACTTATTTTTGGTCCTTTTGGAAAAAAAGAACTAAGTTTTGTTTTTTTTTAACATGGCTCCAGGCACAAAAATAGAATATACGATGATAACTGCAACATTCTTAGTGTTTATCCTTGTAATTCTTTAAATGTCACCAGTCATAATAGCAATGAACTCCTCTTGATTTACTGTGGTAAGAAAGAAAATGTAAGTCAGAAATACAAATTTTTTCACAGAACAATACTAGTATTTTATACTAAGTATCTTTAAATTTTATATTATACAAAATCGTTAACAAACCAAGACATAGTGTTTTTCTCTTACTTTTTTGATAGGAAGTTGATCATGTTTATTAAGTAGAACCTCAAGAATACAAAAATACATAACATGTGATAAACAACAGAAATTAGTATTCTAGAATATTAATTACTGGGAAAGACATTAAGTTCCAAAAAAATCCATCATAATCATAATATTTATACACACTTGCACAAATAGTTTTAAAGCTTGACATTTTTAATTTCTTAAATGGTTAAATCCTCTTTAAAATCTTTATTCTCCTAGTTCATTTGGTAAACCCTTCCTTTATAAATAAACTTATTAAATCTATCATGCATGTATATTAGGATTCTAAAGGAAAATACGCTAGAATTCTTTAAAAAGTCAAATTGTTTTTTGAACTTTTATATATTTAAAAGCCTACTAAAAAAAAAGTTGAAACCAGGTTACTAGACCTCAAAAATATCTAGAGAAATAATTTTAAAAGATACAAATTTAATCTTAATTAACAAGGTAATACAGGCGTTATAATATATAGATGTAAATGTAGAAAGAATTACTCATAAAGACAAATTGTTAGTTCACCAAAACCATAAATAAAATTCAGTAAGAACTTCCAGTTTATAAAATACAATTTTTAAGAAAGCAACGTAAAAATAAATAGGTAATAATCTTACTAAATATAATTTTTAAAATCAATATACACAAATACACACAAATTATCAATAGAAATGATCAGAAAAAAATGCTTCCTCTTTGTAAAACGGTCACTTCATGGGCTCCAAAACTCAATGCATAACTTAACAAAACACAAGTTATGAATGATCATTTTGATAATGAAAACAAGAACACTGTAATGAGGAAAAAAGAGACCTGGATTCCAGTCATCATTCTGGTACAGAACAGTTCTGTGTCTCAATTTCTTCATCTGAAAATACTGAACTACGATATGATCTTTTAGTTTGCTTCTACCTGGTAATAAACAGACACCAGGGTTCCTATTCTATAGTATCTTGAAACTTAAGTGAAGATATTAGGTGATATTATAAAATTATCTTTAGTTTTCTTAGCATTGACAATAGTATCACAATTATGAAAGATAATATCCTTATTCTTAGCAGATGCATACAAAAATGTTAGGGAAGTCATGTTCATGATATATTTTTCAAATGATCCAGAATAAAAATATACACTATAGACAAAGCAAAAAGTAAAATGTTAATTACTGAATCTAAGTAGAAGGTATAAAGGTGTTCATTGTACTAAACTAACATTTCTCCTCTATGAGAAGATTCATAATGAAAAGTTAGATAAAAATTAACCAATTAAAAAACATTGAGATAAAATATGTACATCAGGAATGAAAAAAGTATACTGGTTTCTGAAACCACACAGAAAACCAGTTTCAATAAATTATGTAAGTCATGTTTCGTAAATAAAACAGAGAATAACTGCTGTATAACACAAAAAATTATCTATTATTAAAATAAAACCACCTATCTGTGTTGAAAAACATTCTATCTTAATGGGAAAAATCCTCACTTCTGAGAAAAATTTAGGTAAGAATAAATCTTGACTTGGGCTTTAAAGTAAAAAAATAGGATTTGGTTTAACAAGAGGTGGAAAGAAAGTTAAGGTAGGAGACCATCAGCAATATAGTTAAAAAAAAAAAGTGTGAAAATAAGCTCTAAGGAGTTAAGAAGAATGAGATGTCCAGAGCTGATAATGAACCATGAACCCACGCATTTCAATATTCTACAAAACACTATGACAGTGTAGAACAGAATATATAGCCTGTATTACTTGAAATCTTACAAATTGTAGTAGTGATCTTTAATTCTTGCACGTAAAAACATGTTTCAACATGTTACGAGTGCTATGACCCCTCTCTCTCCCAGTTTAAAAAAGAAAAAATACGTAAGTCTAAACAATTTCATCATTATACACTTACATTTAAGAACCTCTGACTCAATCAATTTAGACTGAGATGTCTAGACCAAAACAAGAAATAAGAGTACGTTTTTGAGAAAAACAACATAATGAAAGCAACCTTAGAATAATTTGACTATAAATTATTTTAATAGAATAGAGCTATGATTAAATTACTCAAAATCTGGAAAATATGATTTGTATGATTTGTTCCTTAAAGACCTAGAAATTTTTTCTCTCAATCTGTAAAATTTCAACACTCAAATTTCAAAATTAAGTTTCATATATAGTTTTAAAACCACAAGAGTTAATTTTTGTTATATTTACATATGAACACTTTAAAGTATTATAGCATTTAAATATATTTTAAACTATTCCATAATTTCCACAGCCTAAAAACAGAATACTTAAATCCAAAAAAGTGGAAAGCTGAAGGGAAGAAAGTGGCTAAGGAAAGTAAATTAGCTCCTCTAGTACCAGTGAGCCTTTCAGAAAATTAAGAAAATCCGATGCCGTTGTACATTTCCTTCTCTATCAATATCTTCTATCAAGTTCCTATACCTAATAAATGTAGCACAACGCCTACCTTTAAATAAGCATCTGATAAAATATTTATTGAATCAAAGAAATACATTTCATTTTCCTCTGCACTGCCTTTTTAAACAAAATTTTCATAAATCAATCATTTCATAGGGTAAATTTTATTATGTCTTTTAAATAAAGAATTTAGAGAAATTGAGGCGCCTGGGTGGCTCAGTCGGTTAAGCATCTGCCTTCGGCTCAGGTCATATCTCAGGGTCCTGGGATTAAGTCCTGAGTCAGGCTCCCTGCTCAGGGGGAGTCTGCTTCTCCCTCTCCCTCTGCCCCTCCCCACCACTCATGGCTCGCTTTCTCTCAAATAAATAAATAAAATTAAGGGAAAAAATAAGAATGTAGAGAAATTAGGTAGATTAAGTACCTTAGAGACCATCTGGCTTTGGGGGGGGACACAAATTTTAGCATCTGAAGAGACAGTTGACTATTTTATATTATAATAGCATGTGATTTTTAAAACTCCATAAACATAGAAACCTAATTAATATTTTACTTTTTAGCCTAAAAGGCAATACAGTGGGATAAAAGTTGGGACAGGTTATTAATTTCTGAGCTTTAGTTTCCTCACTTATATAGATGCATCTATTCTGTGCATTAATAGAGATAATACTGTTTTACTTCATAAAAGCAATTATGAAAAATTACACAATGTAAAATGCTAAACACAGAATCTAACATATTAACTACTATAACTACTAAATAAGTGTTAATACTCATCATTATTTAAAGATGTTCCCCTTTGGGTTTTTATTTTTTTTAAAGCTTTATTTGCTAGAGAGAGAGGGTGTACACGTGTGGGCACACACAGGTGGTTGGGGGCAGAGGGAGAGGGAGCAGTAGACTCCCAGGGAGCCCGTTGCAGGGCTCAGTCCCAGGACCCCGGCATCATGACCTGAGCTAAAGGCAGATGCTTAACTGACTGAGCCACCCAGGAGCCCCCCCAACCTTTTTAAAAGATTTTATTTACACTTGGGTTTTTAAATGTTGCTTTTATTTTTCTAAAAAGATTTACTGTGTTGTATATATCTTGGGAGCAATAATGGGGAAGGGATTCTTTCGATATCATTACTACAGCTCTAGTTATATTATGCATTATATCTTTTTTCTTTAACTCCTCCTTTACCATATTTATTATTCTATATACACAATTAAAAAACTTTTTTTTTTCAGGGATGCCTGGGTGGCTCGGTCGGTTGGGCGACTGCCTTCGGCTCAGGTCATGATCCCAGGGTCCTGGGATTGAGTTCCACAACAGGCTCCTTGTTCAGTGGGGAGTCTGCTTCTCCCTCTGCCTTCTGATCCCCCTGCTTGTGCACTCTCTCTCTCTCTGACAAATAAAATCTTTAAAAAAAAATTTTTTTCTCATTGCTCCTAAATACTAAAGTGTGAAAAATTCATAAAGAACAGAATTACTAAAGTCCACAAAAAAAAACAGCAAGTACTATGATCTTTACTAGCTTAACATATACAAAGAAAACAGGTTATATCAAACAAAACTGCAGCCAAAAGAATTCAAATAAACAAGTTATTATAAAATGTAACTTGTATTTTCTCAAAAATGGGCAGTTTTTCATACAGCTGCAGAGACCCATATAAGTAAACGCAGTACCCAAAGCCAGACTAAATGGATTATAGTTCTCATTGTTTCCGAATATGAAAAATGCCTTTCAACAATAATTTCCTGGACTTGGCATAGTAAGAGTCATACTTAGCATGCCTTGTTTGAGAAATAGATAATGTCAAAGAGCTACTATGAATTCTGAATAATAAGTATTTTTATCAATCGCAAGAGCATTTACAGATATAAGCAAGAGCAGTATATGTATGCATGTGCAATACTATTATTCATATGGTCTATAGACAATATTTGATGCATATACCCAGACTGCATGCAATACTTCAGAAGGCTCCCCACCCCCAGAAACTCACATCCCAAATTGGAAACTACCAGATTAGATGAATTTAATAAGAACACACCCTTCCCCCCAACAAAAAAGACAAATCTTAACAATAAAAGACTATGTATCACTGTATTTTATTTGTAATCAATCACTTGGAAAAAATAGAAAAAATGTTACTTACCTAATTAGTCATTTGAATAAATGACAGAAGGATGCTCAAGCAACAGTTGTTTAGTGACTTAAAATAAAGCAAGCATTGAGAACCAAAGAAATATTTTAAGGATGCACTAAAATCTTCAAGCAATAGAGCACAGGTATGAACTCTGAGATTAAAAAGCAGCAAACAGAGCAGACTAACAGGGGATGCAAGAAATGGACACATTTTCTAGGCAAAGTTTTACATCAAGTTTGAATTTAAGAGGCAGCTTCCTAATTGACATTTTCTTCTAGTGTCAAATGAAGCTAATAACCAAAATCTAACTTGCATGTGCCTAGTACAGGAAAGAAAATAACTATCTTTTGACAAATGTAGTAGCCATTACTAAAGATTTAAGAAATAGACATATCAAGATTCTCTATGCCATTGAAGATAGTACCCTTACAGAACGGAGCTGCTTTAAAGCTAGTCTGGGGTAACAGCCAACAGCTGGGGAAGACACAAAAATTTTTAAAATATGAAGGCAGTAGATACTAAATCCAAATATTAGAGTGAGAGCTCAAGAAATCATTTAAATTTCCTCAAGTTTTAATGATCTTTGTTTTAAAATATAAATAAATCCCTTCAAAGAACTAGTATTAAAAAGTTTCATAATGTTCAAATAATATTTACATAAATATAATGAGAAAGTATAATAATGCACAATTCTAAAGGACAATCTACAAACCTTAACTAACAGCTAGTTGCTACTGTCTTACCTCCTATTAAAGCATGCCAGTATTTCCAATATTTCCAGTAATATATATATTATGTATGTATTTATGTACATATGTATAGTTGATACTGTATCAACATATATCTACTGTAACACACACTCCTGCTTAGGGCTTTAAGTCAATAAACATCAGATCACTCATGTTCAAGAAAATGCAGGGGAATATAAAGATAAGTAAAGATACAAAAAAAGGAAAACAAGTTTCCATTTAATGCTAAGCACCTTCAAATATCTTCCTTTAATACTTACAACCATCCTGGAAGGTATCTCCCTTCTCATTTTAATAAATGGGAAACCAAGACTCAGAAAACATTGAAAACTTGCACAAGATTACACAGCAACTACGTTAAGTGGTAGAGATTCAACTCGAATCCAGATCTGTATGATTCCAAAGCCTTAGGCCTTTCACGCTGATTCCATACTGCTCTTAAGGCACTTACAATATACTGGAGAGATACACATGTATGTAACTAACAGAAGGCATTGTATAAAAATGTCAAAATATTTTGTTCCTCTAAATGGAAGTCTCATAATTCATCAAAGACCACTAGGGAAGGCTTCTGAGAAAAAGATGGAGTTTAAAATGTACCAGAGAGGGGCACATGGGTGGCTCGATCAGATAAGCATCTGCCTTCAGCTCAAGTTATGATCCTGTGGTCCTGCGATTGAGCCCCGCATCAGGCTCCCTGCTCAGCAAGGGAGTCTGCTTCTCCCTTTGCCCCCTCCCTGCTTCTGCTCTCATTCTCTCACAAATAAATAAAATCTTAAAAAAAAAAAAAAAAAACTGTACCAGAGAGAAAGACTAACATATTAGCAGACAGAAACGGGCAATTAGAACATTCTAGGACTTTAAGGAATGGCATGATGAAAAAGGCACAGCATAAAAAAGTGTTTTCAGGATAGTGTATTCAGACAAGGTATGTATGTATGGGAGGTGAAGGTTAAAGCAGAAAAGTGGAAGACCTAAACTAGATATTTAGGGCAGAACATATCTTAGAAAGCTTTGATATTTATTCTGTAGGCACCGAAGAATCATTCAGCATTTGAAGAGGGGAATGACATCATAAAACTTGTACTTTTAGGAAAAGAATGTTATCAACAGACTAAATTAGAGGGTAGAGGCTCATAGGCATAGAGGGCAATTAGGAAGCTAAAGAGACCACATCTGCCTTCTTCATTGTGTAGCACCAGTTAGCACACAAGGCACGGTATCCAGCAGGCATTCAAGGAAATAATGAATGAGGCTATGATAACATTCCTACAAAGAAATTAGGGCCTGAACTAGGGCAGCAGCCGTAAATAAAGATATAAAAAAAAGATTTGAAACATTTAAAGGGTAGAACCAATAGAACTTAGTTACAGTTTAGAAGTACACGTAGGTTAAGGAAGAAAGCAATAAAAGCTGGTATTTTACTGAGTAGCTGAAATTTTGGTGATTCTTCATCCTCAAAGAAAAGTAAAGTACCTTCTTGGAAGTGTGGAATGTCACGTTACAAACAGTATAGTTGGTTTTAAAAGGTCTGCATCATTCTGAATTAAATTATGTGAAATGTTTATGCAAAAAGCCCATGACAGGATGAACAACAATTATACCAAACACAGAGAGCCTGCAAAGGGTCTTGAAAATCATTTGCTTTTAGAAAAATTTACTGTATGCATACATTAGGACTAATACCTGGAATATGTGTTTTACTCAAAACTTACTTTCTCCATCACCATCTTTATCAAATTCTTCTATCATAGCCCGAAGTTCTTCATCACTCATGTTTTCACCCAATTCTCTGGCAACACGTCGCAAATTCCTCAAGCTTATTTTACCTGAATCATCATCATCAAATAATTTAAATGCCTTTAATATTTCTTCATGTGGATCTCTTTCCAATATCCAGTCTGTCACTATAGTTAAAAGAAAGTTAAAAATTTTTAAAAACACTTTACGATCACAAATGCAACCATCTGTGAAATCAACAAGTGTTAGATGAGAATTAAAGTTGTGAATCTTTCAACATTTAGTTTGATAATAATTAACTGCCAAATCAGAGCCCCAAAACCCAAAATGATAAACCTGGAATTACAAAAATCAAATCCATATTTTAAAATTTAATCTTTGTTATCAACAATTCATCCCATTGTAAGAGTATGCAAAACTATCTCACACAGAGGCAAAATAAAAAGGATTATATACCATATTTATTTAAGGTCTACTATTGTCAAGAATTGTACTAGGCTCCACTGACAGCAAACACCAAAGTCTAGGAGTTTGTAACTTAGTTGTAGATATGATATACCAACAAAACAATTAAGACTAATTAGATAAAAGATGTCTGATGTCTAAACTTAATAGTGACATTATTGTTCCTCAAATTAAATCTAGTTTAAAGACATAAAAATCATGACGAATTAATAAAATGCACTGCCATCATTGATAAAGACACAATGTCAGACAGATGAAAATTCTGCTGGTATCTTCATGATTTGAGGAAACTCTTGGTTTTCCAAAATATGAAAAGCAGTTACCAAAAGGACTGAATATGATTACAGTAAGAAAGCTTCCATACCCCCCACCAAAAAAAAGAAAAGTTCTGGAAAGATCTCTCTAAAGTCATGCCCATTTTGTTCAGCAAGATACTAACTCTCAGACAACTAAAATTAAAAGTGAGAAATATCAGACCTCAATATAAATTATATATTTTAATAGGCTAAATGTAATAATATGTAACAATAGTAAACAGTATTTCCAATATTTGCAGTCTTTATTCAATAGCCACAATAACATAAATTAAAGTAAAAATCTGTGGTATAAATTTTTTTAAGTTACTAGATCAAATTCTGAAAATATCTAAGTAAACATCTCTGAAGTAATTCCACATGCTAGTCTACCACTACAAAAAATTATTTATGACTTCACTGTGCCATTAAAAATAACTCAGTCCTGGTGAGGTTTACAGAATCATTAAAAACTTGCGCAAATGTTTGTAGATGGAAAGTACTGGAATGTTCAATGCACCCAAAAAGAGAAATACAATTCAGGCCCACAAAAAATTATTATTGTTGTGCTGTAATGTCATCATGTTTGGTTTGAGTAAGCTTTTAGGATAAGCACCTATTTAAGCTAATGTTAAAACATCTACATACATATTTAGTAGTTTTCTATTATCCATTAATCGTACCCAAAAAGTCTTTCAAGTAACTAATTGAAGTATATTACTGTAAGTATGCAAATCACCAAAGCTCATAAATATTCAATCAAAAGGAGTTGGCATATATACAGCCATAACACCAAAATAAAATACCATGCTTAACTCTATGGCTCATACTCAACTTATTTTGATTTTAGTCCCAACAAAAAAGCAGGACAAGGAAAAAAAAAGTGTTAAGAAATTTTCTTCACCAATTAAATAATTTACATGACAGGTGAACCAAAAAAGCAGCTTGCTGAAAGTATTAATGCACTTAAAGAAGCAACAGGGTGATGTGGGGAACAGATGGGGCTCCAAGATGTATAAATTCTTATCCCACTAGTGCTTTAATTGTGTTAGTTACTTCAGACTTATGTGTATATATAATCTTTTATCAATACTTTGCCTTAGAATACAACTTTTCTTGAGAATTATAAATACCCATCATTTTGGACAACTACAGCATTGTAACTTTATGGTGACTCTCCTCCATGCCTTCATGCTCTATTCCTATTCCACAAAGTAGAATTATAAGAAATATACTTTTTTTCCCAATGAAAATAAGTCAACTAACATACAGTTAAGGTGGGTTCAATCTAACTCACAAATTTCTGTCCATGTAACTCTATTTTCAAAAAATCATACTACCAGAAATATACTTCCTCAAAAGTTAGACCTTACACATTATAAAAATCAGTTAAGAACACAGCACATTAAAAAACATCACATTAAAAGTTTATCAAAAATCATTAAAAGTACTGCTAGAAATATAGCTTCAACCATATTTCTCATTGTCTTTTGGGGGTTTCTATCCAAAAATAAAAGTTACTTTAGGGAGCTTGGGTGGCTCAGTTGGTTAAGCGACTGCCTTCGGCTCAGGTCATGATCCCGGAGTCCTGGGATCAAGTCCCACATCGGGCTCCTGGCTCAGCGGGGAGCCGGCTTCTCCCTCTGACCCTCTCCCCTCTCATGCTGTTTCTCTCTCTCTCTCTCTCTCAAATAAATAAATAAATAAAATCTTAAAAAAAAAAAGTTACTTTAAATTCAATATTTTGGAACCCAAACTCCTAAGATAGTTGCTGATGCCCCACCTCAAAAAAGATAACAGCACCATTAACAGATAATCTCCCATATTTGAAGTCTGAACATTTTGAATCCCATAAACCTAACCAGTGATTAATTCCCAGAGTACTGAGGACACTACCTTTTTTACTCTTAAATATATCTCTTTTCATTCTCACCACCCTCAGCATAATAGAAGTCTGTTTTTTCCTGTCTGCAGTCTCTCTTCCCTCCAACCCATCTTTAATACTCTCAATAGAGTTACCTTTCTAAAATATATCATCTTCTCTTCCTCGGAAACTGAAAATGATCACCTGCTAACTAAAGTCCAAGCACTATACATGATGCAAGACTACGTATTTGGCCCAAACCTATTTTTGCATTTCCCTAACCTCGACAACAGGAGACTACCTGGTTTCCCAAACATACTATACTTCTACTATATCACTCTTTGTTGTTGCTGTTTTCTCTGCCTGCAATGTCTTTCTCTACTCGTTCCCACAATTTTCTCTTTAGGAGGAAATCCTATTCACATCCCCAAAGGTCTAAATTAAAAATCCCCTCTGCAAAGTCTTCTTCAATTGCTCTAGACCAGCAATTGACAATTCTCTTTGTTTTTGTTAAAGGCCAGACAGTAAATATTTTTGGCTTTGTGGAGGGTATAAGGTCTTTGACTAAACTACTTCCCCTGCCATGACAGCACAAAGGCAGCATAAAAGATGAGGCAGTGTGGAAGCAACAGCTGAATTTGGCCTAAGGGCTGTAGTTTGCCAACTTCTGCTCTAAACAAAATTATAATTTACCACAGAACACTATAGCTTGTTATTACCTACACTTAAATGGTAAGCTCCTTGAAAGAACCTTTTAGTAACTTTTAATTCCCCTCCCTCGACACAAAGTACCTAATGCCAAAAAATTCAGCAAATGTTTGTTAAATAAGCAAAGCAAAAACAGTAATAGAATATTCTATTCTAAATAGGCAATGGAATAATTCATTTGTGCCAATAAAAGAGGGAGTACAAACATGTGACTTATCTTGGTCTTACTTTAAAGGAGCAGTTCCTAAAACATTTTTGTTACTACTCACTAACCTCAACCTATCTAGATTCTTAACTTACATGAAATATATTTTAATATTTTTTTCTAACATTGGGAAACTTCTGGTTCAGTGTTAGACTACATCCAGAAATATCTGCAGAAAAATATCCTTCAATAGTAATAGATAATACATAAAACTAAGACTCAAATGTTCTGGTTTGGAGTTATTTGTTCCAAAGTATAAAATATACATTCATCTGTGCTCAGTTATTATTGAAAAATAATTAACAAATGGAAGAATACATAGTTCTTGACTGATTTCTAAACAGTAATACATTTTTGACTACTGGTACTGAGGATAGCTAAAGTATCTAATCTGGTCAAAGGTTTGATCTTTGAAAGTCAGAGCAGTTTAGTCATGGCCATTTATTCTGGAAAGAACCCAGTATAAGTGCTCCGTTAATAACATAGAAAAGATGGAGGATCAGGAAAAGGTGAAGATGGCATGGGACTCTGGCTTCAACTGCTAGTAAAATCACAATTTTAAAATTGTATTTACTTAAGATGAAATAATGTGTTGCATAAAATTATTAATGATGATATAATGCCTAAAATAGCCTGCAACTATGAAAAAAAAGTAATCAAAAAACCGTACTTTTTATGTTCCAGTGATGCATACACAATCATTACTAGGCATTAAAACAAAGTGAAACAAAGACAATTTTTTAAAGTAATAATAACAAATACCTAATAGTACTTTCTATAGCTAGGCCCCTTCTAGTAAACATTTTACATATTAACTTATTTATTCCTCCCGAGAACCCACAGTACAGACAGTACAACTACCCCCATTTTATATCTGCAAATGAGACACAGACAAGTAAAATGACCAAGTTAAACAGCTAGTAAATGGCAAAACCAAGATATGAACCCAGGCAATCTGGTTCCAAAATGTTCATGCTAAACCCCTACATTGTACCAAATGTGCCTGAATTGTAGCTCTTTCCTAACAGTATCATTGCCACTATATCCTTAACACCCGTTTCTATAAATCAACAATCTAAATAAGAACTTGGATTAGTCCAACTTATCATAAACTATAGAAGAGCTTCAATACTGAAAAACTAAAAGAATAAAGATGGCTCCCTCCCTCTCCTCAAGTAAATAAATCTACAGATTAGAAGAAAACAACACAATATTCTCTCCAAAGGGATGAGCTGCCTTTCTAAACAGTTATTTCCTAGTTTACAAGGTAGGGATCTTCTGTGTCATGCTTTCTTTCTCTTTTAGGTTTATCCTTTAATTTCCCTCTTCCTCACCTTGATTTTGAGTTTTCTGATTAAAAAAATAAAACCAATGATTTAATGATATGAATCTATCTTTTCCAAACTGCCCTTTCTTTTTGCCTTCTATATTGCTTCTTTCTGAATATTCACACAAAGGTTTTGTGTAACTGGATTTGTCCCTAAATTTTTTAAATATCTAAAAATAACTCTGATATGCTTATATCATGACATATATAAGGTGGTTATTACTGCTTTAGAAAATTTAATTTTAAAAAGCACTTTATGAATATATGTACATTCTGTGTATAATATTCTATGCGATATATTTAAATCATAATAGCAAAGTCCTTGCCTTCCAGAATCTTCTATTCTAAAAAAGCCTGATATACGCTGTAACTAATTCACTATAATCAACCATATGAAAATTCAATATTAAGCTCATGACACAGTATGCTTAGTTTGTTGTTCTAAAATGTTTTCTCCTGCTTGAGTTTGCCAAATGCCTCCTTTACTACAATCCTCTCCTGACCCTCAACTTTAAACAGATGACTTTATTCACTGAGATCAAGTCATACAGAATATGTAGCCCCTCATAAGCTTTGTCAACCTAAAGGCATGCACTTCATCTACAGTCAAAGATACCAAATGCTACAGGTTTTCTCTTCTCCCACTCTGCCAACATAAATCACACACCAGAATGGTCTTAGGAAATATTTTCCAAACAAAAGGATACCGAATTTTCTGTTTTACTCTAAGAAAATAGTTTTTTGATCACCCTTTTAGTTTTATCACATAATATAAATACAGGTTACTTAGGAAGACATCTCTCCACAAAAAGCTACATAATAGTTCCTTGATTAGAATCTTCAGGACAAAAGACAAAATGATAAATCCCATAATGAAGCTGTAAATCTTATTTTTTTTCTTTAAAATAAGTAAGAAGAGTGCCCCCAAACCCCCATATAATATCTACCTTATACAGCAATGTTCAATAACAAAATTTCAGAGAATTAAAAAAATACTAATATTAACAGATAATTTCCTAACAAGTGCTAATTACAAAGACCTTTATTAAAATACACACCAACTTCATTAAAATCTTCAAAGGTGATTTTCCCTGTGGCTTCTCTGTCATAATCTTTAAGAATCTTCAGTACATCAGCTTTTTTTACATCAAACCCCAAAGCTCTCATTGCCACCTTTTGGATTAAAAGGGAAAAGCAAATTATAAACCACTCTTTCGAAAGAAGTGACTTCCAATTCTTAAATAAATTTTTACAACTTAGGGATGTCAGCACATTAATAAAACATTTAATTCTTTTGCATGTTTAATGTCTCTAAAAAAATCAAAGTGATAGTTTTTCTCTACTACTGAAATTAAACAGCAATTTTTTCATTTATATATCCTTTCTTATAGGACAAACCAATTGTTTATAAAATACACTATACAATGGACTGACTTACTATACAGATCATTTTAACAAGTTATTTGTTCTCAAACGATTAACCACCAAAATGAAAAAAAAGGCATAGTATAAATATTAAAAATTTATACAACAGAAGAGATTAAAAGAATTAAAGTAAGAGTTATCCTGAGACTCTACATGATTAGTTATTAAGTATAAATAGTCCAGGCCCCTGAGTTTAAAAAAAGAAGAGATCTTGTTACTATTAACAAGAAAGGAGAGACATGATACTGATTAAAGAAGTCTTACTTGGAAAGGTTCCATTTGTTCTCTGAGGTATGGACAAAATAAAGTAGAAGAGCATTGAGAAAATGATGACTGGCTTTAAAACAGATACCATAGTATATAGGCTTGAGGACAGTGAACAGAGCAGCTTACCTTACCTTAACAGGAAGAGCTCAGATGGAAACAAGCAGTTAGCAAATGAGAAAAGTAGGTAGTAGTAAAAGTGTGGGGAGCAATCAATAAAAACCAAAGGAATCTGAACTTTATGCAGTGTACAATGAGGAGCCACTAAAGGTTTACGAACAATGAACAATATGAGGAAAGAATCTCAGAAAGATGAATCTAATGGTAGTATATAGAGTGAACTAGAAATGGAGAAACCATTTAGGAAGATCCAGGTATGAAATAAGATCCCAAACCAAGATAATAACAATGGTTAACAAATGGAAGAGACATTATAAAGGAAGAACTGATCAAAACTGGATAACTGAAAAAAAAAAAAAGCAGTGGAAAAAGAGAGCTAAAGAGCTACCAAAATGTTGCCTTTCTTATTGTGCTGAGTGTGAGATCTGTACTACCCTAAACAAACTCTTGCAACTTTATAAATAATTCTAGGCCCTAGGGTTGACAGTTTTCCCCCATTAGCATGTGTTGACATCAGACATCACTTACATTGTTTGCACCAGAGAAGGTATGTAAAGAATGTATTACTAACATGTCCAAATTAAAAGAGAACACTCTCACAATGTGAAAAGAGAATGAGTCACCAAAAAAAAAAACCCAAAAACAAAAAATCCAAAAAAAAAACCCCAACAGTGGGAAGAATACAGTAAGAACTGTTTAAATCCTATAATATGAGTTACTTTTATTATGTGAATGAAAAATAAGGCCCTCCACAGTAATGTATTTTTATATTTAAAATACTATTCACTTTACAATGTGAAAGGAAAGTAAAAAGATATTAGGAGTATTATTCAATTTTATTATAGCATTTAACTGCGAACATCTAATATGGTTTCATATTTCCACAACCAGTTTAGTTAAAATACTTTAGAAATGTATTGTAACCAACTATCAAAAATGCAAATAATTTTAACAGAAAAATATACATTTTGAAGTACCCTATTACCTTTAATTCATGATAATCTATTGCTTCATCTTTGTCTGTATCAAATAGTTCAAAAGCATCTTTAATTTCTTGTTTCTGTTCTTCAGAGAGTTCTCTTCTTTTTTTCCTCTTTGTTTTGTCTACTACAAGCTCATTTCTATGAAAAGAAAAAATGTCTATTCAGTCTACTTTAATCCTATTCTCCAATGCATCCAGATGATTAAAATAAGATTCCAAAATGCAACAAAAAAATTAACCAATGAATACTTTTTAAAATTTCTACAAAGGAAGTATTTGGGAGAAAAATGAATTTTCCTTACATGAATCAAAGCTTTGATCACTCCATAGTCTAAGTCGCCATAAATTTGCACTTTCCAAAACTGAAAAGTGTTACAGGTTATTAAAAGAAATGAGGACCTAACTTTCTTTCCTTCTGACTTCGTATTTATTCTCAATGATATTAATGTGGAAGAAATAAGAACTGTGACTAAAAAAACATTACTTTCATGATAGAAATCCCAACAAAAAACCAAAGCACTCATACATAACTATTCACATTACTCTACAACATAGTATTAAAAAAAATCAGAGGAAAATTCATAATTGATGATCACTATGTATTTGGTTTACTTTTGATAGCATTTATAAGTTATCAAAATTACTACCCAAAAAAGCATATCATTTAACAACTTACAAAGTTTTTGGCATTGTAAGTTAAAAGTGATTTAGATTACATATTTCTAAGTTTGGCACTTTATTTATAATTTCTTCCATTGATATTAACAAATCAGCCAAAATACTTAAGTCTAAATATAGACTAAACCATAAAGATTAAACGCCAAGAAAGTGTATTTGTGCTAATTTTCTATAATATAAAGTGAAGAGTCAATGGTTTTGTAAATCTCACCTGTAAATTTAGATTGTTTCTCATAAACCCTGGGTATTTTTTTTAAGGAAATTTTATTTACAAAGCCAGAAATGTCTTAAGAGATACTGATCTTAGTGTTCCAAAATTTCAAATGGGGCGGAAACAAACAATTTCATAAAACTTTAAAATGTAAAGCTTGGTTTTTAATAAAACGTTATCTATTTGCTCGTGTTTTGCTCTCTAAAAATCTACAACAAAGGCAAGAGATGATTAGAAAGTGATCAGCAAAGGTATAATAAATAAAGCTGAGGAAAATCTTTCTTTCACAAGAAACCTGACTTCACACAAGCTTGGACATTCCCGGGGTCATTTTCTCTGGACGGCGAAGTCCACCACAGACCTACAACTGATTCCAGGCAAGGAATCTCTCAGTCAAACGATGCAGCTGTCTGGAGAGGTGTTAACTACTTATTTTTAAGGTAAAACGTCTACATGGCGCTAGGGCAACAGGGGGTTAGAGACTGGTATTGAATTAAAGGTAAAGAAACTCAAAAAACTTGAAAAACCTTAGAGAGAGATTACCAGTTAAAATCATTTAGGTTATACCTTAAAACAGGGACCCAGGGACCCAGGATAAGATCAAGGAGGGGTTTTACGTTATTTCCAAAATTTATAGTTAAGTATGATGGCATTAGAGCAGCTGAGGCGGGGCCGTGAACCAGGAAGGCGGAGCTGAACGAAGGGATGGATGCTCCTTGGCCAGATTTCTCGCAGAAACACCGCGAGAAGAAACATCGCGATATTTCACTCCCTCCTCGCATCTAAATTAATCCATCTTTTTGGTGGTGCAAAGCCCAACGCGCTGCTAAACGTAACTACCTCAGCAGAAAAGCACGGTACTCATCACCTGCGAGACACCTCGGCCCCCAGGGTGAGGGGTCTGGGCCCGGGAAGGTTGGCCGAGGCTCCTCTCCCTCGTCCCAAACTGCATCCCCTTCCTCGCCTCGGCCCCAACTACGTCCCTTCCATACACACCCGCCCTGGGGCCCGCTGCGGGGTGTGGAGAGCATTGCGGCCTCCTCATTACCGACCTCAGAGCTAAACTCATTTTCTCTTCGGACAGAGACGTTCCTCTCAAGAACGACTTTAACGCCCTACCCAAGGCAGCACGACTTCCACAACCCGTTCAACAGACACTCGCGACCTCCGCGGCCTCAAGGACCTCCCACAAGGTAGACACTTCTGAGCCGGATTGGTTAACATTGCTAACGTCCTGGCCATTGAGACGGAAGCGTCACTAGTCCTCTGCTCTCATTGGGCATATTTCGCGTCAATCAAAGAAACCGCCCTTCCCTGTTCTTCTGCTGCCCCTCCTCCCGCCCTTTAGATTGGCCTGTTGCGGTTTCCCCGAATCCTTTGCGGAGCGAGGGTCTGGGTATTTGCGTGATAGATTGGGCGGTAGGTGGCTGCGCCTCGCCTCACGCAAGGAGGCCTGTAGCCTGTGGAGAATGACCGGAGACAAGACGGACAACTCCGAGGGAAAGGAAGGAAGGGAGAAGAGGCACGGCCGCGGGGTTAGCCTCCTCAGCTAGAAGGAGGGAGTAGCTGGGGACTGAGGCCTGCCAAATTTGGCTTCGCTATGTTGTGTGAAAGGAGAGAAGGTTAGCACTCCCCTTGACAAGGATGGAAGAGGCCCTCGGGCGTGTCAACACTCTTACGGTTAAGGCATGCCACCTACTTCGCTATGTTCTAAAACCTTGGATGGCCCGTGTACGTAGGGAGTTTGTTTAAAACGCAGATTTAAATGTATCTTTCTCCCATTTTGATTTTAGTAGGTATGAATCTGCATTCTTTTTTTCCTTCTAAACTGTCCAGGTGATTCTAAGGCAGGGGATGTAGATTATATTTGAATAATTAGGGGGTTGAATTATTAAGCTATTTACGGTGAAGCGGTACTTAACCGTCCTTTATCTCCCCTCTTCCTCCTTGAATGGATTTGTTCTCTTATGTCCTTTATTTTCTAGTGTTGTGAGCTGCTTACATACATTATGTTATCTGAAGTTGCAAACTAAGTTCTTGAAGTTCATTTGGGTAATTAATTTGTTTACTTGTTCATCATTCCTACTAGGCTTTCTTGAGGTGCAGGATTATATCTTTCATTTAACGCTGTTCCTAGTGCCTAATACAATGCCTGATGCATAGGTGCTCAATAAATACTTGTTGCATTGAATGGCTTGCTGTGAAAACCCACAAAGCACTGAACTAAGCTGTAAACCTTATAAAGGAATAAAATAGCCTGAATGTGGGTGTCGGGCAGGGAAAGGGGGAAGATAAATAAACACTATTGTATATGTATAAAGGAGATGCATGCACACACACACACACACACATAATAAGTTTGAGGAAGGGATAGAACACAATAGGACAGAAGAAAATCTTCTTAAAGCATTTGGCCTGTAAGGCCTAGAAGGATGAGCAAAATTTGGACAAGTAAAACTAGTATGATGGTGTAAGTCTAAAAATTAGAAGTTCAAGGATAGCCCCCCAAAAAACAAAATTAGAAAACTTACCCTTTTAAAGTACTTTTATAAATCACTTTTAAGTCAAAAAGGAAAAGGGAATATTGCCACTAATAAGGTTTTTGGTAGTTTAAAAGAGAGGTTGGGGTGTCTGGCTGGCTCAGTCTGTAGAGCATGCAACTCTTGATCTCTGGGTTATGAGTTCAAGCCCCATATTGGGCATAGAACTTAATTTAAAAAATTACCAAAAAAAAGCTTTACAGATTACTAAAATACTTCATACAACTTCATGCTGCTAATAAATATTAATATCAAAATGAAATAATCACTTTCCAAAGGAAACAGATGACTGAAAAAAGATAGAAAACTGAATTAGGTCGATAACTATAGATAGGACTGAACAGTAGGATGATGCCAGAATTCCATGCCATAAAATAAAAAGGCATCCAGTCCACTCATATGGGTGAGTTAAAAATTCATGAGGAGCAGGCAACTCTTGATCTTGGGGTCATGGGTTCAAGCCCCACGTTGGCTGTGGAGATTACTAAAAGAAAAAAAAAACAACTTTGAATTCATAAAAATTCCTGAGGAGCTAATTCTTGTCCTTTAAACTCAAAGCATGATGGAGAACTTTTTAAACGTTCTAGCTAATGTAAAGCTAGCAAAGAAAACATTAAAAGCATTTAAAATCCTAAAAAAAACATTTAAAATCACTGTATGCTCCATGAGGAGAGTGTGCATGTTGCTCACCCTTCTATGTGCCTGGCTCGTATTTGATGTTCATTAGTGAATATATGTGCAAACATTTTAGATGTTTGCAAAATCAATTTGGTATTGTCTTGAACATTTCACTATAACCAAATAGAGTTTATGTTTAAAATCCAAAGATAGTTCAAAATACAAATCTGTATTAATCATAATTCTGGGTTAAGGAGATAAGCTCAGTATCTGAAAAGGCACTGGAAAATATTCAAAGTCCATTTCTAATAAAGTGTATATTAATAAACCAGATGTAGAAGGTACATTTTTAACTTGAACAGCATATTTGAAAAATGCTAGTGTTGGGGTGCCTGGGTGGCTCAGTCATTAAGTGTCTGCCTTCTGCTCAGGTCGTGATCCCAGGGTCCTGGGATCGAGCCCCGCATTGGGCTCCCTGACCAGTTGAGAGCCTCCTTCTCCCTCTCCCTCTGCTGTTCCCCCTGCTTGTGCTCTCTCTGTGTCTGTCTGTCTGTCAAATAAATAAAAAATAAATAAAATCTTTAAAAAAGAAAAAAGAAACCTCCCTTAAAAAAAAAAAGAAAAAAGTGCTAGTATTTCTTAAACCTGGTCCCTGCAACACTAGAATTTTGTGGGATGTTTATGGTCATTTCTTGAAGAAGGGTTTGGTGGGCAAATAATTTGGGAAAAATAGATTTTTAAATGTTTAAAATGTTTTCAGCAGGATATCCTGCTAAAGGAATGACAGGAAAGTGTATGTATCACTTCTGCATAGTAGTGAAAATTAGTGACTTGTCCACTCCTTGCTGCAAGGGAGGCTGGAAAAAGAAATCTCTAGCTGAAAAACTGTGCCCTGCTAAAACTTGGGGTCAGATCATCTATTACTAAAGATAAGATAGGGGATTTGCAGCTCTGCCACAAACACCGTTAAAATAGTTATCAACACTGTCTCTGAAATTTTAATCAATGATGTACTAAAACAAGAAAAAGAGGTGATACATAAAATTAACATGTGTGGATAATATGATTACCTGGAAAAATCCGAGTATCAGACTATTAGAACTGAAAAAAGAATTCAGTAAAGTAGCTGATTTTCAGAAAAATTTGCAAAATCAACAAGCAGTTATAAGCTAAAATAATAACAGCAATATGAAATTCCTACAAGTAAACTTAAAAGGAAATGTATAGGATCAGAAGGTAGAAAATCTCAACATTTTACTAAAGGACGTGATATTTGAATAAATTGACAAGCTATTCTCCTAGATGGGAAGATTGAGTATTGTAAAAATGCTGACTATACCCTAGATTTACCTGTAAATTTAATATCAAAATGAAAATTTTCCTTTTTTAAGATTTTATTTGAGAGAGCAAGCATGTGTATATGAGTGGTGGGGGTGAGGGCAGAGGGAAAGAGGGAAGCACACTTCCCTCTAGGCAGGGAGCCCAACTCAGGGCTTGATCCTAGGATTTTGAGATAATGACCTGAGCTGAAGGCAGACGCTTAACAGACTGAGCACCCAGGCACCCCCCATTTTTTTCTTGAATGTAATAAAAATTGTTCTAACGATCATTTTAAGAATAATTGCATAAAATAAGGTACAAAATGGTGAAAAAGAATAGTAATATAAAAATTGCTCTATAGGAGATTAAAATGTATTTGCTACTATTGTAATCAAAATAGTAAATCCAGAGCCAGAGCCAAAAGTAGATAGAACTTGTGGTTTAAGAAGATAGTAGTATTAGTATTTGTTTAGTCTTCCTCCTGAATCCTTAATAAAACAATAGTTGAGAAATAATTTCTAATACTAAAGTGATTTGGAAAGCTACCGTAAACAGAGAGGTATTTAAAAAAATATCTGAAAGATCAAAAGAGACATGGAAGCCTGTTGACAAATGAGACAGATCATGAAAGTGTCAACTCCTTGGGGCACCTGGGTGGCTCAGTTGGTTAAGCGTCTGCCTTCGGCTCAGGTTATGATCCCATGTGATCCCTGGGTCCTGAGATCGAGTCCCACATCAGGCTCCCTGCTCAGTGTAGAGTCTGTTTCTCAATCTGCCCCTTCCCCTGCTCATGCTCTCTCTCTCTCACAAAAATAAATAAAAAAATCTTTAAAAAAAAAAAGTGTCCTTAGAATTTGCAGGTGACTAAGGCTTCAGACAGAGTTGATCTGCCTGACGGAGTCCCAGAGAGACCCTAGGCTTAGAGTTATCTGGCACAGTAGAGGGTAGAAATGAGAAGAAGGCTGAATACAAAATTTAAAAACTCTTTAGGAAACCACTGCACTTGAATTTTTCCAGATTCCCCTCCCCAATATTGTCTCTCTTCACATCTATCTAGAACCCCATTCTTAAAAATGAATGAAGAATCAAAAACTGTCAGATAAGAAGAAAATCAACAGCATAAATGATAAACTAAGGAAAACAACTATCTAGGAAGACTCAGAGTCAGCTTAGGAAGCAAAACAAACTCATAATAAACTAATAATATTAAGCTTCCTAAAAGGTAGTAAAAAAAAAAACTGTTTAAGAGAACAGCATACTCTGAAAGAGTAACATTCTGAGAATAATGAAAGACTGTTGAAAATAAACATATGATAAAATAAAAAATGAGATGATTTAATAGAAATACTCCAGAACTTAGAGCATTCAGACAAAAACATGGAAAAATTGAAAAAACATGGAGGATTAAACCAAGAGATCCATCATCTGACTAATAGGAATTCCAGAAACAGATAGCAACAAATGGAGGAAAGGCAGAAAATATCAAATACATAATCGAAGAAAAATTTCAGGGAACTAAATATCAGTACAAGTTCTCAAATTGATAGGACATACTTAGTACTGAGCAAACTAAAATGGTAAAAGGAACCACATACCAATAAGACATTTCAGAACATCAAAAATAAAAATGTTAGCTTCCAGGGACAATTTGCTCTCCTATAAAAGAATAATAATTGAACTAGCATCAGATTTCTCATCAAAAATATTAGACTCC